AAACTATAATTATATTAAACTGCTGCTGCCCGTGCCTTGTGTAATAGAATCAGTATCTTCATATCCCTGCTGGAATGGACACTGACAGGAAATATCCTAAAAACAGTGATCACACTTCAACATTGAAAAGTTTTGTTTTCTTTCCTTTGGTGATGAAACCTCCTTCAATTAAGATCTTCTGCATTGATAATTAGAAGCTAAGAGATGACCTAGAGGCTTTTTCTCTTTCTGACTGCATAAATGGAGATTATTTTATGTCTATACCTTTTAATTTCCTGGTCCGGACTCTTTCTTCCTGCCTTTCAAAATCAGATCAAGGACATTATGTTAATTTTGTAAAGATTCAACATTATCACTTTCTGAACTAAAGCATGAACTTCCTGATTTTCTTTCCAGGATGCAAACCTGTTACATTTTCAAGTGGGAACACTCATCCGGGCAAACAAACCTTGTCTTCTGTCAATTCATGAGTAACCTGGAATATTTACCTACTATCTTCCTGAGATTTCTTATTCTAGATTCAGAATTCATATTGGTATCTCATGTTTTCCTGGCCAAGGAATTCTCTGGTGATGGTTACACAGTTATTTTTGTAGCTGTGACTGCTGACTCAATTTCAGTTTGTTAACTGGATAATCACACAGCAATCCCAAGGGTACTTCTTCAGAGCAAGATTCCTTTAACGCGATGTTCTGCATTAGAGTATTTCTTCTCCCATTGTTAATTTTACATTTTTATTCTTCAGAGGCACTTTTTCATTCTAGCCTATTTTCTTCTCAAATCCATGGTGCGCTGAAATCCTATTGTTCAAAATATTCATGATCCCTCCTAGATTCACCTGTGAATTATCTTCAATCCATCCAAATGGTTCGTTAAAATATGCTAGTATTTGACCCAGCACTAATCCCTTTGCTCCCTATCAATAATCCCCCTTAATTTAAAATTCTTTTTTCTTATTTAGCCAGTCCCGATTCCTCTACAATTCTTCTTATTCCATTTTCTTGTATTAAAGTGTCATGTGGGATTCCACATCCAGTGCCTCAATAAACTTCCTGAAAATAGTTTTACTTTGTATACAGTGCTATAGGAACACATCCATAATTACATGAAAACTGCTAATATTTTTTTTTTAAGTAACTAAAACCTAATTACAGCTAGAATGATAAAACTGTTGCACTTGCACATTTTAAAGTGGTTTAGAGGGAAGAGCGAACTCCTAATTAGTGCCTGATAGTGCAGCACTTGCAACACTTTGGATCAAAGAGTTTAGTTTGAAAGGATTCAATACATGCATCTTGTGAATTTAAAAACACAGTGGCCTAAAAAAGTCTGAATTAATTACTCGATAGCTCAACTCCATTTCATGTTGTGCTGTTTGTGTGGTGGGGTTTTTGGTAGCGGGGGAGGGGGCTACAGCAGTGGCCCCAGTGAGAAGCTTCTGGAAGCTCCCCTGGCTCTAAGTCACACCCACCTCTGGCCAGGGCCAAGCTGATCAGCGACGGTGGCTGCACCCCTGCGAGAACGTATTTAAGAAGGGGAACCTGGGAGGAGGGGGACACCTATGCGAATACCGAGGCCAGTGGAAGAAAGGAGGAGGAAGCAGTAGGAGATGTGATGGAGCAGAGACTCCCCTTGTCCCACGGTGAGAGGGCAGAGTCCCCCCCCGCCACCCATGGAGGTGCGTGGTGGAGCAGACACCGTCCTGTGGCCTGTGGAGGAGCCCACGCTGGAGCACCCGAAGGAGCCCAGGACTTTGTGGGAAGAAGCCCCCACTGTTATAGTTCAGCACTGGGAGGACTGCAACACGTGGGGTGATCCATGCAGGGGCAGCGTGGGAATGGCTGCATCCTGTGGGGAGGACTTGTGACGAGGCAAGTGCATGAAGGACTGTCTCCAGTGAGAGGGACACCGTGCTGAAGCAGGGGAGAATGTGAGGAGCCCTCCTCCTGAAGAGGAAGGAGGGGCAGGACTGACTGCACTCCCCCATTCCCTGCCCCCTGTGCTGCTGGAGGGGAGGAGGTAGAGAAATCAGGAACAAAACTGAGCACTGGAAGAAGGGAGGGGTGAGGGAAGGTGTTTTTAAGATGTGGTAATGCTTCTCACTGTCCTACTCTGTCTGTTAAGTATTGTTGTTAGTGTTTGAATTAAAATGATGTTCTTTTTCTTCCCCTAAGGAGTCTGTCTTTTGCCTGTGACCGTAATGGATGAGTCACCCCTGCCTGTCCTTATCTCGATTCTGGAACCTTCTACTTTATTTTCTCCTTCCCATTCCTGAGGGAGGAGGGGTGAGTGAACCGCTGAGTGGTGCTCAGTTGCCTTCTGTACTCAAACCATGACACATGTACTTTCAAAAACCACACCTAAGAAAAAATACTGTTACAGCAATAAAGAGGAAAAAGAATGAAGATAGTAGCTTCCAGCAAAAACTGTAATCACAAATCCAGATCTTGCCCTAACTGAAATAAACTGCTCCCTTCCTCTCCTCAAGACAGCAATGTAAACAATTAGCAGTAAACTAAATCAGAATCTTTACACAGAATGAACTTGATTTAAATATAGCCTTTTCTTGTTGCTCTTTATGTAGCCTTGACCTCATCAGTTTAAGAGCTACGGTATTTTTACCCTCTCTAGGCACAAGAGTGAACTGGTGTTTCATGAGAGGTTTACATAGTGTTGTTGCTATTGTATATCTTTACATGCATGTGCTCTATCTCAAATATTAATATTTAGGCAACTCAGAACCAGATTTCCTTTAGTGCAAACTAAAAATTACAGTCAAGCTTTACAGAGGTCTAACGTGAAGCCCATGCACTTCTCATGTCACTTTGTGAGCTGAAGCTAGACACTGGGAATTTGCAGAAAGCAACCAGCTGCAACTATCATTTTAGAAGTACCCCTTTGAAGGCAAAATGATACTTGCCTTCACTCTTGTGAGCTAATTAAATGCATTTATGTAAATCCATTTGGAAAGGCCACATCTAGTAACATGGAGACAACATAGATGTCTTAGCAAGTACACTGTAACTCCTTAAATACGGGTTCTCAACAGTCAGCCAAATAGCTGCACAGATCAGCCTAGAATATGTTTAATGTAGTCTTCTGGAAGGCAGATTAGGAAAACTGAGGCTCTGTACAAAATGACTGTTTTTTCAACAGAGCTGTAGTGGCAGCTTTGCAGGCAGCTTGTAAAGAACTAGAAATAACCTCATATTTAAATAAAGCTAATTTGAGATATTCTGTACTCATTCAAAAGACAGGTAGCTCTCCATTCTCTAATCAACTCCTAGTATAATGTTAAATTCACCCATGAGAGGAGTACATTGTACTCTCAGAACTTCTTGATGAAGACAAATTCTTGCATTATAGCAAGCAGAAATAACATTATACCTGCAAACCCAAGCTCACTATATGCACTTACCCCACTGTCTGAACATTAGTAACTCACAGGTTTTATTTGTATAAAAATTAACTGTAAATGTTATAATTTTGTTCACTACAGGTAAGCATTTTTTAAACTAAATGCTTACCCCAAAAAGCTATGACTGGAAACTTAGGAGTTCAGAATAATGCCTCTGATAGCCTTATGCATGATGCCGTAACTTTGCTCTTTGCCAGGGGAAGAAGTGTATTGTGTATGTTGTTACCTGAGACTATCCTATTGTCTGTTCTGATTCAGGATGCTGGCAGCACAGCTTAACTCTATACAAGGTGCCTCGATCAGAACAAAGTATATAAAAAAGAAATGTCAGCAATATCACACCAATGGGAAAGGCTTGATCTTGTTCTTTTACTCAGAACTTAGTAACTGGAATGAAGAAGGGAAGTTATATGAAGTTGCACCAAGATGATAAAATTTTCCTTCTTAGTATTCTTTTTGCCCTATTCAAGGAACTAGTTTTGGTGTTCATGGCTGAAAAAAAAAAAAGGGGGGGGGTGGGGAACAAGCAACATACATCCTTTCACTTCTTATCTTTAAATCACTGTTGTTTTTTAACTTTTTTTTTTCTGTTTCTCCTCTTTTCCCTTCATCACATACTGGATGACAAAGGCTTCTTTAGTACTTATACACCTAGAATTTGTTTGCATTGGGAACAATTCAAAAAACATGAAGGCTACAGCTTACGCACTAACGACACTTACTAGCTTCACTGGCAAAAACAAGCTGGAGAACTGAGGGAGCACCAGAAAAGAACGGCTTTCTGAGTAAAATGGCACATGTAAAAATTAAAAATATTTCACTTTAAAAAAAGAACAGACCAAATCAAATGTTTTCCTGTACAGTCACAGAATACTATGTAGCAACTTGTAAGATACCAAGGGACCTCAGCTGTCTTTCTCACAAGTCCCTTTCTTAAAGGCAGCCTTGTAACATTTTCAATGTTTTAAGAGAAGTACGGGAGGTGACTATCAAAGTAAGTGCCGGTTTTAGTAGATAATACAGTGGCAGGTGATTAGTCTCAAAAGGCAGAGCGACACATACACTGGTTTTTGGCGAAACTGGACATTTTATCTACTGCATAAAGCATCCGCTTTTACCTAGTAAATATTTTCATGTACTGTAGCTGTCGCCTAAGAGGCAAAAGCTCACCCAGAAACCTGTCAAGTCATCTTATGAATGTGTCCATGCCCAGTGTGTGACAGCAGCTGTGCCTAACGCAAATTCCACTGCAGTCATACTGTTGCAAAGAACCCACAGGTACCTTCCCATTGTTGAAAACAGTGTTTTGTTGACATACTATATAGTCATAGCTTACTGCACCACCCTTGCTGACATAAGCAGAAAGCTGCAAAGGAATGAGCAAGAAGATTGGGGTAAGCGCTACATGTTACCTTCACCACGGGAAGGGAGCTTCAAGAGGATGCGTATATGAAAGAAGACAAAAAGAAACGCATAATTTATTATTTCATGTATCAACTGCTAATTTTCTTCCTGACTAGAGACACCTGAAGTTTGATATCCAAAACTGAAGCTTCTATAACAAGCTTCTCACTCACGTGAGCTAGTTCAAGATTTTATTTCCTTTATCATGTGACAGGAAGAGCTGCTCAAGTGAGGTTTTGGGGCTTGGGGTTATTTTCAAATACTGGGTGAACCACACTGAAGTTATCCCAATAAAAACAAGCAGCAAGCCCAAAAAATATCAGTTAATTTTGATAATTTAATATGCCATTTATAGTCATCCAAACATTTTACTCAATACTGTTATGTACAAAACCCACTGAAAATAAAAAAAGAATTTAAATGTTACCTTTCAAATGTAAAAGTGCAATTAATACAGGCAATGTTTTTGTAGGAACATTTCTGTTAAATTCACTGGCTACACAAGAGCCTAACAGGTATACTGCCTACGCTAAAGTGAAGGAGGATTTTATTTTTTGTTAATATTGAGTAAGCCTGGTAGTCGATAAAGTTTTACTGCCACCATAATTATGGTACATACATCTAAAAAAGCAAACCACATTTGTTTTCATAATTTTCAGTTTTACAGACTTACGAGACTTAAGTAGAGCAACAGTAAGATCTGTAAAGTTCAAAAAATAATTAACACCATAAAACATTGCATCAAGTAAGTGTACGCAAACCAGCCATCCTGAATTGCTTTCTCCAGAGTTCTGATAGCTTTCCAAAGATGTTACTTACCCTCAACAAACATTCTTCCCTTACAGTACTGAACGGATTTTCTGGAACAAGATTTACATTTATCATCTTTCATGCATTACATATTCACAATTTGGAAAGAAATGGAAGGCCTTCATACATGTCAGCCTTTAATCTTATCCAGTCCTGAAGTCTCTGCAAAGTTGTTTTTTCTTGTGTTAATGTTTTTGCAGCTTTTCTCAGTTTTTCTTCATTTCGTTCTAAATAACGAATTCCATCTGTCTGCAGCTGATTGAGTTTCTCTTTACGACTTTCATCCAGCGGTATGTCCTCATTCATAAGAGGGTTAAATCTGAAATAAGTATCTGGAGGTAACAGTGCATCCAGCATGGTGTGAACTTCTGTATTGAGAACAAATGAACAAAACAGTTACATTTACATGAGACAGAAAACAGTCCTACAGTCTCTGAACAACAAGTGCTCTGGAGTGACCTAATACGTGTAAATATGTGCTGCTTTGCTGAGTAAATGTTTTTCCACCATTGCCATATCAAAACCCCTTTCTCATTAGAAGGTTTGCAGACGACCCTATAGCTCTGTTTACTCAGCATAAAAAATGAAGCTTTTCCAAAGACAACTTCACTGGTGTGACAATTAAGGAGGCTTTGCAGCTATCCAGATTTTTAATTACACGTAAATTGTGTTCCTTTACAAGTGAGAGTGCACTGAAGAGCAGGAATGTAGGATACACAACTCACATTCAGGATACCCACGATTTGTTACACTCAGTACTAACGGGAGTAGGCATTATGAAAACAACAGTTATATATTCCTCTCTAATCTCAAAGACTGCAGTAAAAAATACATAGCTTTAAAGCTTTCTTTCGTTTGCAACTAATTCATTTTTTATATATTACTACAGATTCTGGGTTTGAATTCAACATTCATTTAATTTGAAATGTTAAAGTTCAATTGTAACAGTTCAGTTAACTAGTACAATAATAAACTGGCTATGTAATCTATCTGTATGCTCCTCTCTTTTAAAACTTGTTCTCTCCTTTTTAGATCTCTCTTCTTTTCATTGGCTGCCTTAAAATTACATTTCCATGACCCCCTTCATCTTTCATTCTCTTTTATTTCCATCTTCTTCACATTCTTACCATGCTCCTCCATACACCTACTGTTATAGAAAAAATTTAAAGTGAAAAAAATATCATGGGTGAGACTACAGCAAAAGATTTTTGTCAACCTGAAACCTTCTCAGTTGGGTCCCTCCTCCTGCAAATTACTCAGCTGTGTCTGTTCTTCTGTCACCACATCCAGTCTTTCTTGCTCTAATACTCTCCCCTTTTTCCTTCATAATATAACTTCCCATCTGCTCAAATCTGTTCTCCCCTCTTTCCATTTCCTCTCCTTTGGTCTCCACAATGAACTTCCCTTTTCTCCTCTTCCCCATCACATTTCTTGCCTGATTTTTCAGCTGCAGTTATAAACCTTTTGTTCCCCTGGTAGAAAGTGGACAGCACTTCTTTCTTTCCCACAATTCCCCCTGCCTTTCCATGATTGTGCAAAAATCAAAGGCGGCCCAATATCCAGTTTTTTCTTACTATGACAGTCAGCTGACAGAGATCATGCAGCAAGGGATCTAGGCCATAAGAGTATTTAATGCTCCCTAGCTTTTTACAGCATCAGTTTCCTTTGTGAGGGGGGAAGCATCTGCATATCAGTATTTCCCGTTTATAGAAACAAAACAGATGTAAACTGCTAGTGATAGAGTTCCAGTGTACTCCTGTCCTAGGAACAGAGTTTATTTTGGAAAAATATATGCTTGGCTCCTCCTGACAGCAATGGAAGTCACGACCACTGGCAGATACAGTCTAGTCCTTGGAAAAGCACATGTAGAAAAGAACAGAACTAAAATGTATCTTATGAAGTGTTGAAAACCAATCAATGTCCTCTATTAACTATTAAGCAGTTCTGTTTACGGGAAAAACAAATCAAATATAAGAAAATATGATCTGTCTATTGAGATGAATTCCTGAGTATGCCTTTATCCTGAAACACAAGCAAAAACATATCACTTTGTATAAATCCTGTTGGATTGTCATTCTGATGAACTTTAAGCTATCTTTTATCTTTGGAATACCTTTGTCATCGAACTCATGTTAACAGTTGAGAACTCAGAGAGCTTAGCAACAACGTAGTGAAGATGAAGATTCATTGAGATAGGGCTAAGAAACGCATTTGTATTATCATCTTCAGAAAACCTGTAATACTGGTACTAAAAAAACAACTATACATGAGTTATGAAGAGGAGTGTTTTGAGTAGTTTCAATGGGGTGGGTAGAGAGAAGGGGAAAGACAAAGGGTTGCCGATTACTCTCTGAATCAGAACTACAATTCTAAGAAAAAAAAAAAAAAAAACAAAACTGAAAATAGTCACAATACAAATGTATCTTAAGACACCAACCTTCTGTATCAGTTGCGCTACTGATAACATTTGTGAGTTTGGCTTTCAGACTGGTGTGTGTGACACTGGTCTTTCCCTCGCTTTCATATCGACCAGTGCCTAGTGATACTAGACACTGCAATGGAACATTTGGCCAAAGACACTTGCACTCATGAACTGCCAGTGCAGAAGGATTATTCAGAAGCAGACCTCCATCCTGTAAATTAAAATTAAATAAAAATGTTAGTACTATCCATAACAGTCATAAAAGAAACTGCAACTAAAGTAGCACATCACCAATATACAAAATCAATTAATTCAAACAAGCATTAATTTCCATCTTTTGCACAGCTGTTCTGTTTGTGCTGCGCAGCAGCTGTGTAGCTAGGCTTCCTGGGCTTATGGACACTGCGAGAGCAGCTCCCAGGTCTGTGGTCAGTTCTGGTGTTACGCAGAAGTTATGACTTCATCTTCTGAGGACCTTTTAGGCAAGGCAGATACGCATACTGACAATAGCCGAAACAATTAAAAGTCTGCATCTCAAAATGTTTATTACCAGTATTACAAGGATATATTCTGTAACAAAATCCAAATCACTACGTGCAGATTCTAAAATAAAAATTAAAAAAAAAAAAAAAAAATCAGCTAAGCTTGGCCAAAGCTATTTTATAAGCACAGTCATTACGTAGGATGCTATAGCCTGGATTTAAGACTTGAAAAAAATCACAGAATCACTAAGGTTGGAAGGGGACTATTGAGCTCATCTGTTCCACCCCACTGGTCAAGCAAGTTCAGCTAGAGCATGCTGCCCAAGGCCATGTCTAGTCCAGTTTTGAGTATCTTCATAAATGAGACTCCAGAATCTCTCTGGGCAACCTGTTCCAGTGTTTGACCACCATCACAGTAAAAAAATTTCTTGCTTTCAGATGGAATTTCATGTGTTCTCATTTGTGCCACTGTCTTTTGTCCTGTCGGTGAGTACTGGGAAGAGTATGGCTCCCTCATCTTCATTCCCTCCCATTCTTTATTCGTACAGATTGATAAGATCTCTGAGCCTTCTCTTCTCCAGGCTGAAGAGTCCCAGCTCTCTCAGTCTCTCCTCACATGAGATGCTTCTGTCCCTTAATCATCTTTGTGGCTCTGCACTGGACTTACTCCAGTACGCTCCTGTCTCTCTTGTAATAGGGAACTGGACACAGATGGGGCCTCAGTTGTGCAGAGAGGAAGGATCATCTCCCTTGACCTGCTGGCCACACTGTTCTTAAGGCAGCCCAGGATGCTGTTGGCCTTTTTTGCCACAAGGGTGCATTGCTGGCTCATGTTCAGTTTGCTGCCCATCAGGACCCCAAGGTCCTTCTCTGCCAAGCTGATTTACAACCAGTCAGTCCCCAGTGTGTGTTTGTGCATGGCGTTATTCCTCCTCAGATGCAGAACTCTGCCTTTCCCCTTGCTGAAGTTCACAAGAATTCTCCAGCCTGTCAATGTCCCTCTGAGTGGTGGTCCAACCACCTCATGTACCAGCCATTCCTCCCAGGTTTGTACTATCTGCAAACTTCCTGCAGGTGACCTCCATCCCATCATCCAGATCATTGATGAAGATTTAAAATAGTATTTGCTCCAGTAGTGACCCGTGGATTACACCTCTAGTGACTTGCTTCCAACTGGACTTTGTAACACTGATCCTAGCACTCTGGGCCTGGTCATTCAGCTAATTTGCAATCCACCTCACTGTCTACTTATCTAACCCACGCTTTGTCAGCTTGTCTATGATATTATGGGAGATAAGTGTCAAAGGCTTTACTAAATTTGAGGTAAACAACATCCACTGCTCTCTACTTGTCTACCAAGCTAGTCAACTCATTGCAGAAGGCTACCAGGTTCATCAATCATGAGTTCCCCTTTGTAAATCCATGCTAAGTCCTCATGATCACCTTCTTGTCCTTCATGACTTCGGAAATCCTTTCCAGGAAGATTTCCTCCATCACCTCCCAAGGGATTGGGCTGAGGCCAACTAGCCTGTAGTTCACCAGAGCTTTTTTCTTGCCCTTCATGAAGACACAAGTGGTATTTGCTCTCCCAACCTGTCCCAATCACCATGATCATTTAAAGATCATCAGGAGTCACCTTGCAACGGCATCAGCCAGCTCCATCAGCACTCACAGGTGTAACCCATCAGGCCTAATTAATTTATGCATGTCCAGTTTAACCGCTCCCTAACCTGGTTTTCTTCCACCAAGTGTAAGTCCTCCTTGCAGCAGACTTTCCCTCTAGCTTCAGGGGCCTGGGATTCTTGAAAGCCATTTTTACTGGTGAAGACTGGGACAAAGGCAGCATTAAGCATCATGGTCTTTTCCATGTCATCTGTCACCAGCTCTCCTGCTCCATTCAGTAGTGGGCCCACATTTTCCCTAGGCTTCCTTTTGCTGTTTATATACTTGTAGAATCCTTTGTTGCTGCCCTTCACATCCCTCTCCAGATTCAACTCCAGGCCAGCTTCTGCTTTCCTAGCCCCATCTCTGCAGGACTGAACAGGCACTCTATACTCCTTCTGGGTCACCTGCCCCTGTTTCCACCTTTGGTACGCTTCCTTTTCATGTCTGAGTTTAGTTAGGACCTCCTTGCTCACCCACACCTTCGTTCGATTTCCTACTTGTTGGGATGAACCTTTCTTGAGATGGGAGGACGTGGTCACTGATTATCAGGCAGCAATCCTGGACCCCTCTCTCTTTTCAAGAATCCATGGGATTCTTCCAAACAGAGCTTTGAAGAGAATGAAGTCGAGAGCTGTAGTCCTGGTTTCTTTTACCCTGCTCCCTTCTCTTAGGATCTTGAACCCCATCATCTCATGGTCACTGGACCAATGCTGGTCCCTGACCAGTTCTTTGTTCTTCATAAGCATCAGGTCCAGCAAAGCACCATTCCTTGTTGGTTCCTCCATCAACTGTGCCAGGAAGCTGTCATCAATGCACTTGAGAAATCTCCTAGGTTGCTTGAGCTCTTCTGTATTGCCCTCTCATCAGGTATCAGGATGATTCAAGTCCCCTCTGAGGATCATGCCCTGGGAACATGAGGCTTCTTTAAGTTGTCTGAAGATCAGAATGCAGCCCAAGGCTAACAGGAACAAAGGCTACTCTGCTAAGGACAGACATCTTTTGCTAGCAGCATGCCAAAAGCATAGGTGATGAGGCTGGGATAAGAATCGGTATGACTGACAATAGTCTGAGAAGCATTCAGATTTTGATCCAGCAAATCTCAAAAGGTATGTTCAGCACTTCTTGGAAGTAAAAAGATCTTCACTCCAACTAAGAAATAATTTCTTTGGACTTTGAATTCAGTAGTACTTTCTATATTGGGAATACCTTAAAAAAAGGCAGCTGTAAAGGCAAAACTTAAACTGAAAACATTATCAATAGCAGAGATTAAGAACTTTATAGCCATTCAAAATCTATACACAGAAAACACACAAACTACAAAAGAAACACAATATTGACTACAATAAACACTATGCAAAATCTCCCTATATCCTAAACCTTCCTGAACTCCCTATATCCCATACCTGACCATCAAAAGAACAACAAAAAAAAGCAACTCTACTCAGGAATAGCTTGGAATGAAATATGTTTTGCAGTTGATAAACATTTTACAGAAACTCCTTTTAACTACAGCTGTGCTAGATAAGTAAAAACAGGATTGCTGAGTTTATTTATTTATTTATTCATTAAGCTTTCATTTCAACCTACAAAAAGCTCTTTGAACGTCTTCTGGATATGGTCCGCTTTGCTCAAAACACTGTTAAAATGAATGGTCTCTTCAATGCCTATTATCCTTTGCTTATGTTTAAAATCGCTTCTACACAGAAAACTAAATACAAGGATGGTTTTGTTCCTGATATAATTCCCCATGAATCTTAATCTAAAAATCTTAATTATCTTTGTGGTGCTTGCTTTTTTTCTTTAAATCCGCATTAAAAACATACTTACCAAATAATTTCCACTAATCTTGTCAATATAATTAAACATGATTGCTTCGGCATAGGAAAATCAGTGTTATCAAAATTTAGGGGGTACGTGATGCTAGAATACAATATTTTTGTAATATTGACAAATAAATTTCAAAGGAAAGTAAAGTACACATACCAAATGGGTATTGTGATGATATATAACAGTTTCGTGCAGTAAGTTCCATTTTTAAATGTTATTAAATTTAGGTTTATTGAAATGACAGTAAACATCCTTTCCTATTAATTTTCACTTTAGACACCTTTAATGTAACTTCTAGCATTTGTATAGATGTGTGTCATTTCTGGAAAGTTAGAAGTAGGACTCAATAAGGCAGGCAACTGATTTTTTTTTTTTTCTTCCCCTCCAAACAGATTATGGTTGATAATGACCACATCCCAATCAATACTGTGCTTCAAATCAACTTAGTCTGTTAAACAAAGATGTTCATCATATTGCTCTTTTGCTTACAATGATCAACTACTGAAGCAGTAAATAACATATTAGTTGAACTGGGCTACTAAGGATTCAATGAAGGAAACACTGCAATAATTTGTATCATTCTGCAGCTCCAGAAACCCTAATTATGTCAAATGCTGAAATTCTTGTGGAAAAATGTTTCACAGGTTTTAAAATTAGTTGCAATGATTTCACATGTATGTTGCTTGCAGTTTTCTCAGAATTCACAAAGAATTTTCCAGTTCTAAGATTAAAAAAATAGAAACTAACCTCTCTGATTCTGAATAATTCCTCTATCTTCATAAAACTGGACAAAGAGTCCTTCCTGAGAAATATATTAAACTAGAAATACAGAAATATGACAGCCAGGTCTAAATATTTAAAAAATTAACTTTATTAAATCATGATATATCTTCCCTAATGCTTCTCCTTGAGACACTGGAATACAGTTCTAAGTGATTGCAGTTTTGTACATAAGGTATGCTGAGATCACAACAATCTTCACTGATGCTTGCTCTGAACTCCTATGTATTTAGCATCTCAATTTGTTCTGGACAACTGCTAAATTTGGTATCTTAATTTTTACAATTCTGTTGAAGTTATTCTATAATTATATAATATTATAAAAACTAATCTAAATTATTTATAACTTACCAATTAAAATATTTTTATTGTAAGGACTCAGCTTTTAAAATATGTTTATAAAAAGACACTAACCAAAATGCAGTATAACCAAAAGACTGAATGACTGCTAGTAGTA